ACGCTTGTGCCGCCCATGCTGGAGCACCTGCCTGCTGAAGCGCTGGCTTTAGAGGACGACCCTGTTTCCAGCTTACCTGCAGCAGGGGTGGCAGCTTGGCAGGGTCCCCCTGGTGCCTTGTCACCCCTCCCAGAAGGTCCCAGCAGGGCGCTGGGGACACCCTTGTCCACAGCAGCCAGGGCACAAACCCTCCCCAGGGCCGTGCTGAGGGGCTCCCCCCATGCCCGCAGCTATGGGGGTGCCCCTTCCCTCTGTCCCAGTGAGGAGCAGGGGACACCGGGCACAGAGGGACCCCTCGGTGCTGCTGCCATGGCAGAAGGGCCCCCAGCTCTCCCAGATGGATTCGTTCCAGATAACGAGGTATTTGTTGCTCAGGCTCCCGCAGCCGGGGCTCCAGGCGCAGAATTCGCTTTATTTTGCACTCCAGGGATGGGTGGGAGGTGGGAGCCCACTCAGTAACGCACGATCTGGGCTCCCAAGCAGCCTTCTCCCTCCTGAGATCGGCTTGGATTTGGCAGGCAAAAAAGTTGGGGTTTTTTTTTTTTGGGGGGGGGTGTGGGGGGGAATTGTGTGATTGTGTAAGTAAGGGAGGCAAAAGATTCTCGCTGCTCGATGACCTGAAATGTTGACTTGCACTTTTTTGGCTTATTAAAGTACATTGTGGTCACTCAGATGGAAATCGCGGACTTTAGAAAAAAAACCTCCTCGCTGGCTCCTGGCAGGGAGTTCCCATCTTTGAAGCAGAAAATATATCAGGGAAGAGAAACCTGTAAAATGAATTAAGTGCAGGCAATTCCTGCCCCGTGCAGTCATCGCTGTCTGTAGTTTTTTTTTTTCCTGTGAGCATTGAGGTGCTGAGGCTCAGAAGGTGCTTGGGAAGGGGCTCAGATTCCCTGTGGTGTTTGGGGATTTGTGTTTCTCGTGGCTCTTGCCTGGAGAGACCTCAATGCTGGAGTTCCCACAGCCCAGCGCTGATTTCCTGCCATCTGGAACAGGAGAAATATCACTAAGGAGACATCAGAAGTTAGTCAGCACCAAAAATCCCGATTTGGTGGCAATTACTCATCCTTTGGGCTGCACCACCCCTTTGAGATACGCACGTGGAGGGGCTTGGAGAGGTGGTTTCACATGGGGGTCCACGTGAGCACGGGCTGGGACACCCAGAGGGGACCTGGGTGAGGGAAAAACCATTGGGTTCGTGCCATGGTTGTTTCTGTTTTTTTGAAATTCAGTGAGGGGGATCCTTATTTTAGGTTCAGCACCTCTGATTGTTGACCCCACAAACCTTCCCTTTGCTCCAAGTATTGCTGGAGAGGCTCCCTGGAGTTCCACAATCCAGCAGCAGAGGGGTTAAGGGAGATGAGGGAAGCAGAAAGCAGAGGGGATGCTGTGGGAAGCCTTTCTGTGGGAGTGAGGAGGAGGAGGAGGAGGAGGTGTGGTGGAGCAGATGTCCTTCTGCTCTCCCAAAATGTCTGTCCAAGGCAGGCCACCTTGCTCCACAGCAAAGGGGAGTCATTAAATATTTGTTTCCAAGCTGAGTCACAGTGAGGTTAATGAGCTAAATCACTGGAATCTTTTATGAGCAAAGGAAAACAAGTGTGTTGGACACGCTCACCCTCAGGCTGTTGCTGGGATTATTTTTGTCAGGCTCCTCAGGGCGCTCTGGGCTCTCAGGCTGGCTGATACCTGTGCTGCAGGTACCCCTGGTTGGATCACCCAGGCTTTTCCACAGGGCTCCCTCCCTGCCTGGCTCCTTTGGAGTTTGTTTTGCAGAACATGGAGAGCTCGGACCAGCCTGGCATGCCAGCCTTATCAGCCTGATCCTTTTGTGGGTTTGGCTCTTGTACCCAGCAGCTCCATATATAAACAGTAACAGGAGAACAGCCCAGGAATTGGTGATTCCAAGTCCCCATTTATTTCTTATAACCGTGGCAGAATTCTCCACGAGCAAACAGCTCTGGACAGTGTCTGCCAGCTCACCCTTCGCTGGTGTCCTGGAGGGACCTCCCTGCCCTCCCTTTCCTGAGCTCTGCTGGGAAAAAGAAGCTTTTTTTCCCTTTGGAAACGAGGCAGGGAAAGTCAAAGCAGTGCCTCTTGCTCAGGCTGGGAGCTGTGCCTGTGTGTTTTGGGGGGATTTTGGTGTTTTTAGGGGGTTTTGCTTCGTGCTCCTCCGGTTGCCGGGCGCAGAGAGCCGTGTCCTGCACGAGCTGCTGCTCTGCTGGGGGAGATCTTGCATGCAAGTGGGAATTTTTCAGTGCAGGCAGTTCTTGGGCACGGGGAGCAGGTGGCTGCTTGCCATCCCCTCTGCTTCCCAAGGGGAAAACGCCGTGACAGGGCCAAGGGCTGCGGGGTGACCCATGCTCTGCATGGGCTGCTGGGCCAGGGGAGCAGAGCCAGCCAGCAATCTGCTCCCTATTTTTGGGGTGTTGGCTGTGGGGGACAGGGCAGGCTCGTCCTTTGGGACTGCTGGGGAAAGACTGCACGGGCAGCGCGTGGTTCCAGCAGATCCCCAGCTCTGATAAAGAGCATTTATCTCCTCCGGAGGAACAGGATTCTCCCTGCTGCCTCTCCTGACAATGGGGAGCTTCATTCGCTCTCCTCCCCCTTCCCTATCAAATCTTTTTTGGTTTAGAAAGCTTTTCCCCACAGGATTCCCAGGCAGGACCATGCCAAATCCGTGGTAAACGACTCGCACATTAATTGCCTATTGCCTTTGTCTTTCGAAATGCAGCGAGCTCCTCTGCTGCCTGTAATTTCGTGGTTAACAAAACTCATATGATGTCAGGTCTCTGTTCTCAATAGCTTCACTGTGAGAATTGCTTGGGGTTTTTCCCCAGGAGCATTATTTCCCAATCTGATGGCGAGTCGGAGACGATGCTCTCATTTCTTCCTCAGTTTTCTCTTTTTACCTCACTCCAGTGCTTTTCCCAGGAAAAATGGGATTTTCCAATTTAAAACCAGAGGTGGGTGTGGATAGACCCTGAGTCGTGCTCCAAACCAGCAGATTCCTGTGACATCTGTGTCACTAGGTCAAGGCAAGGGAGGAGCTCAGACAAACTTGCACAATTCCAATAAAATCAGTGCAAGTGCAATAAAATCAGGCTACTGCATCTTCCCCGGAGAGGAAAGCCTGTTGTATCCATGGAAAGACTGAGTGGCTGGAAGAGCAGCTCACAGCTTATAAATTCACCTTTTCTCTCCCACCTTTTCCACCCCACAGCAATTCCAGAAGGAGCAAGTGGATCCCCTCCAGCTAAAGCTACAGCAAGTCAATGGAGTTGGTCAGGGACTCATCCAAAGCGCCGGGAAAAACTGTGATGTCCAAGGGCTGGAGCACGACATGGAAGAAATCAACACCCGCTGGAACACCCTCAACAAGAAGGTGGGAGCATGGGGAGGGGCTGTCCCTGGTGTTTTTGGGGTCTGGGGGAGGGAGGGGATCACAGGCAGGGAGCTGAGGCTGTGGTGCCAGTGGCTGACACTGCAGCGGGGTTATTTTGGTGTTGGGGTGCAGGTGGCCCAGCGAGTGGCCCAGCTGCAGGAGGCCCTGTTGCACTGCGGGAAGTTCCAGGATGCCCTGGAGCCACTGCTGAGCTGGCTGGCGGACACCGAGGAGCTCATCTCCAACCAGAAACCTCCCTCTGCCGAGTACAAGGTGGTGAAAGCCCAGATCCAAGAGCAGAAGGTGAGTGAGCGCTGGGAGGGGAGCTCAGGACAGCCAGACAGTATTTTGGGGGTTCTCTCCATACTTCTCTCCTGGTGGATCTCAGTTCCTCACATCCCAGTGTAATGAACAGTTTGCCCACACTCAAGAATCTCCATCCCCTAAATCACCGCGTCCCTTCGTCGTCCCGCTGCCTCTCGAAGTTGGTTTTGCTGGTTGGCCGTGTTTTTCCAGCCCTGAGTTTTGCTTTGTGCTGATAATTCTGCTGTGTCAGGAGCGAGCTGGTGGTGGTGCAGGGCCTGGTTGGGGTGTTTGGACAAAGGGGACGTTACAAAGTGTGAGAGCAGCCCCAAGGTGTGCCGGTGTTTGCTGAGATAACAGCCCGGGGTCGGCGCCTGCCCTCGGAGCGGGAGGAGGGGAGGTCAAGTGTGGTCATGGGGAAATATTTCAGAAATGAATTCTCAGCCAGGCTTGGTCTGACATGTGGAGGTTGGAAGAGGAAATGGGCTTCAAGTGGAGGTTAAAAACTTGATAAGTTGGAGGGGGTTGGTGGGAAAGACTCGGAAAACTCTTCTGGCACAG